ATTTCTTCTCCAGACAGTTCCTTTGCGTAGACGTTGAGCTGAAACATCTCTCCACCAAATGCATGATCGGATCGGGTGAGATAGCTATCACCGTTTCCCAATGTGAAGCTATGGCCAGTTGGAATAGTGCTGCCAGGTGTCTGTAACGTACCTAAAAGTGCACCGTCAGCGTAGTATCTCATGGAGCGGGAGGAAGTGCTAAAAGTCAAACAAGCATGGAACCACGTTCCTTTAGACACCGAGAGCTTGCTTCTAACGTCCAGATGACATTTGGTTGCACAGTTGTAACGCCCGCTACTTTCATATCGCACTATATCAGCGCCGTAACTAAAAATTATAGGCCATGTGCCCGATCCAATGTCTCGTACCCAGCTGCAAACCGACATTTTGTTGGCAAAGGGGCTCATGTCTGAGCTAAACCGTATGTACTTATGTATGAGCCTCCGCCATTGGCAAATTTCAGTCCTTTCATTTGGTTGGAATAACTGATAGCTTTAAGAGAGTGAAATGCTAACACCAGGTACACGAGCAGGGAGAGGATCATCATTCTCTGTAGTTCTGTCAATATCATTAAATTATATTGTTCGTTAAATGATTATTACCTTGAGAATGACAAATTTAGTCTTCCATAAATTTAGTCAAAATATTGACTAAAATTGTTGTAAACCAAATTTATTGAGACTAAATGTTCGGTGACTAATTTAAAAGCAGACCAAAATTTTAGTAGAGCATTATATGACATGAATATTATTGAGCTTGAATTGTTAATATTATTGAGCTTACATTATGAGTATTCTGTATTACACGTTGCACTTGTAATCCACTGCTTGTATGCTTTCACATTCACAATTACTTCCCATCTGACGTTAAACTTCAAATTACAACTTTATGTGCGGAATCGAAGAAAAAAAAAAACTAAATAAATAATGGAAAAATAAAATGAATGGAATGGAAAATGGTCTCGAAAAGTCAAAAAATGTGACTAAAATTGTTGTAGACAAAAAAATTGTGAAATTTGTGACTAAAATTATGTTAACCAAATTTATGTGATCCAAATTTATTGGCCTTAAGGTAGTATTTTTTGGTATATTGACAAATTTGTATCCGCGTCAAAATATGTTTGATGTGGCTTGATGTCAAAATTCGCAAAGTTACATTTTGTGTGTGTTTCCACATATACACCATACAGTATACACAGTACAAACAGCTGTGATCACATAAAAGTTCCATAAAATCAATCCCGCTTCATTTCATGCTAGTTTGCTTAGAGAGCCTCGGTGATAAGCCCTCTCTCCGAGTTCATGGCTTAGTAACCAGGTATCCAACTTAGTAACCAGGTAGCCGGCTTAGTGACCAGGTAACCAGCTTAGTAACCAGGCAACCAGCTTAGTAACCAGAATCCAGATAACCAGGATTGTGGGTATAAGGGTCCATATCAATATAGTATTTAATATTCTAAAGTAAAGAAAGCAAGGCAAAGGCTAACGTAAACTTTTTACGTTACAGAACGAATGTTGTTGAGTCAAAAAGCTTTAATAAGAGCATCCGACTTTAGAAATAACTTGAGGAAAAGTGTTTGTTTTAAATTACATCCGTCGAATCAAAATTTTTATTGAAAACTATAAAAGATACAAGTTTATACTTTGTACTATGTGATTTAACTACCTTGTCGGACTTTTATTGAACGGACATTAATTGGAAGCTGGAAGCTGCAGCCTTCATTTTAATGTCCGTTCAAAATTATCTCCGTTCACGCAAATAAGTACGTTCGATAAGGTAAATTATAAAATGATCAAGACAGTGGGCTTATAACATACTGCCACCTATCCATCAAATCCAGAGACCAGACCTACCACACTCTTCGATCCAGTACAGTATTCAAGTATTCTCTATTAAAAATGCAATAATAACCATAACATGTATTATTTTCAGGCCCAACAACTGCTGCAGAAGCGACATTTAAGTGCGGCGGGTGCGGAAACGCACCTAGGTTAATAAGGTAGCCATTTCCCGCACATATTCATACTAACCAGGGGTGTAGGAATGATTTTCTTCATGAGGGGGCCAAAATCTTACAGTTTTTCAAATTTAGCACGCCAAAACTTTAAATTTTATCAAATTTCAATTGTCCTAATATATACGTTTCTTATCTTAAGCTAAAAAGTCAGGGGTGCAGCCGTTGTACTTCAATTAAAATAATTGATCACAGAAGAGTAACTATAGCTGCAATGTTATCGTGCAGTTAGACTGCAGTTAGACAGGATAGGCCAAATGAGGCCAAAAAGTAGGCCCCTTTTCGCCCCTTTTCCAGATTTCATGGGGGGCGGTCGCTCCCCCCCCCCCTGCCCCTTCTCTTACTACACCCGCACCCCTGATACTAACAGTCGTTTTCCACAATTTTTCTCACAAATCCGATCTGAGGCCACACTCATATTTGGCAAGAAAAGTGACCTACTTTCAAACAATATTAGGCAAGTGTGGGAACACACTTTTGACTTAAATGTTGCCTTTGCTTTTAAAGGTTCGTCAGTCCAGCAACCCAGACTCTTATGACGCGGGCATCTTTTGAAACTCATCCCCAGCTCTAGAGCTACCATCAGTTGGATTAGAACGAAAAATTAGTAATCGTACTCTATTCTGAAGGTGTAGGTACTGAAAACGTGAAAAACAAAAAATAAGTATAATACTAAATTATAATTAATGATATGGTTTATTAAGTATAAATGTGGTCAGTTTACTACCGCCCTCATCACGTCTTTGTGTTTTGGACTCAGTCAAGACTTTCCCTCATCGCATCATGACCAATGGCATTATAGGGGCTACTAGGACAGAGTTTGTTGACCTATCACCACTATTGTCCACCAACTAATTATACCAACGTATATACGATGAGGGATAGTCTACACTAGCTTTAAAGTTTGAGCTGGAAGATTTAACAATTGGGTATGTCGTCAAAACTCAAATTCAGCCCTCGGAGAAAATGCATCAAAATCGAAAAGAAAGATTTCTGTGCCAACTCTTGGCACTTATTACTTTATTACATTGACTAGCAAATAATCGCTGCCCTCGCGCCGCATTATTCGCCAGATTGTACCGTGCAGGGAGGGGGGTCTGGTAAATGCTGTCGTAATTACTTAATTATGAGGGGGGGGGGGGGGGTCGCTTAATTCTGACAGTTGCTCATGGAGGGGGGGGGGGGGGGGTAAAAGTGACAAAACACTTGCTGATGTAATATGTGAACACTCTCTATAAGTTTAACTAATTCTTAGTGTTTCGGAGTCAGTCAAGACTTTCTTGACCTATCACCATGACTATTGTCCACTAACTAATTATATCCATTCTATTGGTCTCGGTGTGATGAGGAATAGCCTACACCAGCTTCAAAAGTTTGAGCTGGAAGATTAAACTATTGGGTCAAATTCAGCCCTCGGACTCAGCTCTGAGAAAATACATCAAAATCAGAGAGAACGAATTTTGTGCCAACTCTTGACGCCTATTACATAGACTAGCAAATAATCGCCTTCGAACCGCATTATTCGCCAGATTAGCCGCACTTAAATCTTGCCTCTGCCAACGACTATGATTTAGACATGGATATGCTCGCAATCATCGCACTAGCTGACGTAATTCCTATGCCTTGGTACATGGTAAGTAACGTCTGAGCGTATGATTAGAATAGTTAAAATTCAATAATTTGAAAATATTTCCTTATTTTTCACACATATCAAAGAAAGAAAAGATTAAAGCGCTGAAGATGACAGTGGACTCAGGAATTCAGAGCTACTGCAGTGCAGCTGTACAAAAGAACAAAAAATGTTACACTTACAGTCTGCAGCAGTAAAACGTTAAAGGAGGCACCAAAGAGCTGCAGAGAAGGACAGGACTGGCTCTGTTTGGGTTGAAAGAAGAAGAAGAAGAACAGCTCCCAGCTTTGGTAACCGCTGTTTTGAAGGCGATAAGGGAGAAACCTCATTTCGAAGTGACAAGAGTCGGCTGGAAGAGGCCAAGTACAGCTATCCGATCAATGAAAGTCACTGTACCGAGCTAAACTTCAGTTTGTCAGATTCTGATGAAAACAGGGAGGCTGAGGCTAGTTGAGACCCAAAAAGATGTATGGACCCGTCCTGATAAATCAAATGAAGAGTGTGCAGCAAGGAAGCATCGGGTCACTGACCTGAAGAAGAAGAGGGCTTAACAAACTCACCTCGACCACTCGATCCAGTACGGAAAGGTCTGTAGCCATGATAAGAGGGCAACATTAAATAATTCATGTGTCTAGGACACTGATCAGATATTATGTATGACTATAATACTATGAGTATCTTAAGAGTTTTCGTATGCTATCTGTATTTTATAGACAATTAATATTATGGTTACATACTATGAGTGAGTATTGCTGAAAGCACAGTGTAAGGCCTACACTGTTTTGTCGATTGTTTTTAAACTTCTCACATTTCTTTATCCTATTCCTAGGTGGAAGACGTGATGTCACTAAGACTATTTGGGCAGCCAGAAAACTCTTGTTTTGAAAGTAGTCCTCGGTACTTGTATCACTGACCCAGACTTTTTAGCAATTACAATATATAAATACATTTCGGCCCATTTTATATGTTTGTTCGATTTGCTGTTTTCATATTTTTGAAAAGTTTCAAATCATCAAATCATTAAATGATCGCTATACTACAAGACGTACAAATACATAGTTTTATTCTTATCCAGTTTATGGTTTTAAAGTTGGGTAACAATAATAATTCGAAATTTATCATTTCTGGAGACTGAAACATTTTCAATCTCTGTGTAGAACTAGAACTTTATTTACTCAACTTTCCCTTTGCGTTGCATTACACACTTTTTAAAAGATGCTTTGAACTTAAACTGAGGTAATTCTGTGTAATTAATTAATTAGAGCTGTCAAGACCGTTAGTTGAACTTTTTTGCCTTTTCGTTTATTCCGCTCACAATAATTGCCAAAACGTGATTATACAATTGAAAAACCTAAATTTTCAAAAGAGTTTGAGAACACAACTAAATAATTACATAAATTGCAGAAAAATTACTAAGATCCGATTTTTCAAGCAAAAGAATTAAAAGTTATTGATCTGCTAACGATTAATAGATTAATGATTAATCAAATCAACTCTTCAATAGTAGAACATGCTTGCACAGATGGAAACAATTGACTGATGAAGAGCCATTTTAAATCAGAAAATTTTAAGTATGGAAAATTGGAAATGTCATTGTTCATGCCTAAAAGAAACATTCGTCCTTCTTATTGTGAAGTCATGTCCTTGACTTGGTGAGTAGTGCAGGTCAAGCTTAGTCAGTGCAATTTTTGGTGATGTACTTCAAGAGTTCCACCGTTTCCCTCGTCATCGTAACACCGACAAGACTCCCTGAAAATATAAAGATTGTGCCATTAAATAACAGTATCCTGGGTCTGAAAATATTTAACCCGACCATTTTAAATAGTCAATAACCAACAAAGCCGCGCACACGTGCAGCTCCACCCTAGAGTTAATAACCAACTATTACTAACATCAACAAAATTTACTAAACCCCCAAAATTTGTACTAAGAAATAAGAATTATAGAAATGTCACATGTTTAGTTTTACTTATGATTAATATAAAATTAATATAATATTTATTTTAACTGATGATTACTAAATTACCGCTAATTCCGTCCCACATGGTGATGAGTGAGTTAGCATCTTCTCTTGTGAACACCTTGTTTAGGTACCGTTTGGTATGTAGCATTGTCCACGGTCTTTCCTCAGTGTCAATGTGCTTTAGAAACGTGATGAACTGGTCGGTTATCGTGAACCCGATCATCATCTCTGAAATATGCCAGTTTATTTAAATAAATATGCCAGAGTGAATTGATTTATAATCTTGATCTTCCTTTAAGCGATTGAGATGAACAATAAAAGTTTCAGGTTTTATATGTTATATTAAAAGGATAAAGATTCTCAGCATAGTTCATGATATGACGCACAGAGAATATTTTTAAAATATTTATCAAAATTAAAAATTTTTGAAACACCATATGCAATGATGGTCAAATTTGTTTACAAATATTAAGTTGTTTGAGTAATAAAATCATGATTTAATATTATACCAGCTATGTTGTCCCAGCTAGAACGAAGCCGCTCAGCAACTTCTAAAGAGATTGTCGTGTTCACGTAGGTGTCCTGGGAGAAAAGATCCCAATCCCAACTTTGACTGGTCTGGTTGCATTGCTCCAACTGTTTCAGGGCCGTTTGAAGATCGTCAGCTGTTCTGTTCAAGTTTGTAGATACATTTTCCAGCTGTAGTTCCGTAGAGTTTAGCTTTGTTTGTGTCTGGTTCAGGGTCTGCTCAATGACCTCTTTTTCCTTAACTGTTTCCTCTAATGTCTGCTCGGATTCCTCCAAAGACTGCTGACATTCTGCCAATAAATGCTTAGTGGCCGAGAGCTGCGTTTCTGTCTCGTTCACCTTACGTTCAGCCTCCTCAAGACGTGACAATATTTGGGATAAACATTGATCAATGATACTGAATTCTGTAACGGTTCCTGTTCTACTCTTCTTTAACATGTCCTCCCATTTCAGAACACGCACGTCCTCATTCTCATTTTCTATAGTAGAACATATACCAGCGTCAGCCATTCTTTTGATTTCTTCTCCAGACAGCTCCTTTGCGTAGACGTTGAGCTGTAGCATCTCTCCACCAAATGCGTAAGCGCTAGTATGATGATTGCCTGAATGACTCCCCAATACGAATATTCCTCCGGTTGAAATAACATTGCCTGCTGATGTCTGCGCTGTCCCTAAAAGTGCACCGTCAGCGTAGTACCGAATGGACCGGGAGGCAGTGCTGTAAGTTAAACATCCATGAAACCACTGTCCTTTAGGCACTGTTAGTTTGCTTCCTACTTGCAAATAGCAGTAATTAGACGCGCAGTTGTGATCACCATTGCTTTGAAAACGAACTTGATTACTCCCGTAGTTTAATATCTGAGGATATTGGTTTGATCCGAGATAACGTATCCAGCTACAAACCGACATTTTGTTGACAAAAGGACTCATATCCGGACTGAATTGGATGTATCCGTCATCGGCAAATCTCAGTCCTTCCATTTGGTCGGAATAAGTGGTGGCTTGAGCAGAGTGATATGCTAACACCAGGTACACGAGCAGGGAGAGCATCATCATTCTCTGTAGTTATGTCAATACCATTAAATATTGTTCGTTAAATGATTATTAGTATTTCTTGGTAAATTTCGAAGCAAATAAAAATGTTTCTGCTGGAGCTCAATAACTTAGACTTATAAATCTTGTATGTTTCAACTGTCGTAAACTGTGATGTTCACAGTGGTTTAAACCAATATCTGTCTCAATCAACTTTTTAGGAATTGAAAAAAGACAAAAGAATTGAAACTTAAAAAGTCTAACTAAACATACAGACTGTCATACATACGTAATTTACTACTTTTAAATGGAAAGTGTAATTGAAAAAATTGAAATTGTCATTGGGGTTCAATGATTGGAAAATTCCAATTACAAAAAATTAATTACCTTATCGGTCATAATTATCACGCTTAACGTGAATAATTAAGTCCGTGAAAATGATGTCTGTAAGGTCCGTAAATAATAAAGTCCGGTAATTATTTCCATTAATTTTTGTGTGTGTGTGTGTATGTGTGTCCATAGTATGGACACACATACACACACACACACACAAAAATTAATGGAAATAAATGGACTCCATACATATGCGTAGATATGTGTGTATCCGATTACTATATTGGTTTATTAGTTATACTATTACTAGAACAAATATAATCACTCAGTTACTTTCTAGAGTTCAGAAAAAGAGTAAAACACTTATTGAAAAATCACCAAAAAAGTTTACAGTTTTTTGGACATTTTTGGGCGGTCATCAGTATAAATAATTATGTCCGTGAAAAATTCGGACAAGTGAAAAACTTGTCCGAAATTTTAAATGCATATTAGGATCTGCAAGCAGCTCTTACGAAATAAATGTAGTTCGAAAAAGGGATGCATATTGCATTCTCTCGAAAAAAGTTTCAGGAAATTTGCTTCCAGAATTGAAATCTAGCAATGCTCACAGTGCCCCTCCAAATACGCCGGACAGACCTACAGACCCTTGGTCCACCGCATGAAAGAACACGAACGATGTTACAGACTCAACAACGCCATCGACGAATCCACAGACAGAATCAAATCAGCCCCTGCACATCATGCCCTGACCACCGGCCACACCATCTCCTGGAACAACATCGAAGTCCTCAAATCCCTCACCTCACGCACCCAACTAGACCTCACAGAACACGCAGCTATACAAATACGACAACCAGCTATGAACAGAACAGACCGCGCACCCAAATGTAGTTCCCTCTGGGACCCCATTCTTCCTAAAATTGCCAAATCCTTGAAGTCCAGACCATCTGGCATTTCCTACTCAACCTCAACAGAAGACTAAATTTTTATTGACATTGTACTGTAATTTTCACTTTCCCACCCACACCTCCCCCACCCTCCATCCCTGACACCACTCAATCACATATAAGCATTGTCCACCACATCACATTCAGCTGACGACGATTAACACATGTTTATTGAAAGCTTCTACAAGTTAAATCATCGTATCTCTTATATGTTTTTAACCCAACTCCACTCAGCAATGTGAAATGATAAATCCAGAAAGATTTTGTTGTGCCAATTTAATTAAGAGTCAAAGGAAAAGTCCTGCAAATTTTGAAAAATATTCTTACAGTAATAGGTCTCACTCTCAAAGAGGGTACAACATGCTAGGAGGGAGAAACTGGAACAATTCTTGGAAAATTTGCTTTAATGAATGAACCCTAGCAATGAGGTAATGTAAATGTGGCCTGGACTACAAGGGACAAACTGCTAATTTACTCCCACGGCACAAAAGAGTTATCAGTTATGTTATCTCAATTTTATAATCGCTAGGCTTCTGAACTTTTGATGAATCCTGACATGTAATATGTTTTGTTTTAAAGACCTTTAGGGGGGGGGGGGGGGGGGGGGGGACAATGGGTATTTTTATTTGTGAAACTTGATTTCGAGATAGCAGCTGACCAACAAACTAGGACCAGTGACCGAACTTTGAGGGGGTCCCGGACCATTTGGCGCCCCCCCCCCCCCCCCCTTAATTCACACACCAAAACATTTAATTTTATCAAATTACAAATGTCCTAATATAATTGTATACGTCTTTTATTAAGTTAAAAATTCAGGGGTGCAGCCATTGTACTTCAATTAAAATAATTTAATTGATCACGCCGGATCACGATGTTATTTTATCAAGATCAGCTTCCTAACCCGTTTAATATCAGAATATGTTATATAAATTAACAGATTTCTGGTTCATTGAAAAATTCTGGTATTGAAAATTCAAAATACTGAACACAGCATATAAGAGTAACGGCCAGCAATGTTATCCGAATTGTATAATCGCTAGGTTCCTGAACTTCTGATGAATCCTGACATTTAATACCGGAATATTATGTAATATAAATTATCAGATTTCTGGTTCATGCCAGCCAACAGCTGGATTGTATCCTGCTAATTTAATTGAAGACACTGAACACGGCACAGAATTGAGTAACTAGCAATGTTTTCTGAAATTTTGTAAATCGGCAACTATTGTGCAGTTAGACTGCAGTTAGACACGGTGACCGACAACTAGGAACCTCTCATATCTCAGGATAATAGGCCAAATGAGGCCAAAAAGTTGACCCCTTTTCCAGATTATATGGGAGGGGGCGGTCGCCCCCGCCCCCCTCTTCCTACACCCCTGATCCAAAAAGACTTCTAAATTGAAGTAGTCCATACAGGAGAACTGATAAATAAAAGTAACGTAGGGATGCCGTTACAGCTCTTGAAAGAACCTGCACATGGTACTGCACCAACTCTTGATCCGAGATAAAGATTTAATAAGATACTGACGGGCGGTTCCGATAGGTGTGGCAGAAGACATACTACATTCTACAATATCTCCAGACAACTCTGTCTTATACTCGCATAATACTACAATATTATTGTTTTGGTAAGGGTTGCTCAATCCTGATAACAACCAGATACAGGTAACAACAGGACAGAAGTACCAACTTTCTGGATACACAGAGCGTCACAGACAGGAAAAGTTACAGTGAATAGCTCGTTAGAGGAGGTAGTTTACAGGTTTTATGGGGAGATAAGCAGGGTACCCAGACGATTGTGGAGCGAAATATTACATTTATACAATTTCTATCACGGTACTAATCATGAATTGTAGCAGGAGCGAGTAATTTTACTATTTTTCGTATCATTTGGGCAGGTAAGCAGGTAGCTCAGTTGGTTAACTCGCCAGTAAGTTTACGCCATCAGCTAGGTTGCTAGTTTACGCCAGTTCAGAGGTCACTCGTACAAACCAAAACGAACGACCGATCACTACGCCAGGGTGTTGCAAGCTCAAAATGGTGCTAAAGAAATAAATCTTTATGACTTGTGCCTTGTGGAGACCTTTTTCTAAATCAACGAAATTTTAATAAGCCAAAATTGTATATCTTTTTTCAAAAATGTGGCAACTATAAGTATTGCAATATAATTCGTACACGTATTTTTGATAATAGAATGGAAACCATGGTGCGAGCCCTCAGCGATGTTGGATTAACAAGGAAGAAGTAGCTGAGTGTCGTGGAAGAGAGGGTTGCGGCCGGCGAAGGTAACAATCGAGGTTCGTTTAAAGTAGTCAGCACCTCATGTTAGAAGTTATGAGAGGATAAAGGCGGTGTTGATCTGATCCAAAGGAACTGGAAGGCACCGATGATCTGATAGGGGAATCTGGACAAGGTACTCAGGACAAGGTATGAGCGTTGGAGAGCTCCGCCTAAAGTGAAATTTGCAGCCTAGCCACGAACTGTTGAGGAGCACCAAACACTTTCGATAGCCTTGTGAAATCCGATCTTTTAGGAGCTGTTTTTGGAAGTTGCTGATTCCGAGTTGCTGAACCTGTTCGTTTCTGAATCGTCGACTTCAAGCGGTTACTAACGGGAACGGGGCTCTATTCACAACTCACGAATTTTAACGCATCCGAAACCGCAAGTTCCATTTACAGTTTCTACCTCGCCCATCCGGCATCCATATTCAATATCCGAGCCCGTAACTGTGGCCTTAATTTAACACATTAAACACGATACCCGCACTTTGGCTCAAACCTAATTATGTATTCTCCTTTAGATCGGGTATAATTATACAAAAAGTAATTATTACACTGTAAACCTTATCTATCAGAAACCTATTCATGTTTCCTTGTTCTTAGTTTATTATAAGGACTAAAATAACTGTGATACCAATTACCAACTTTTGACTGTCAATGTGACAACGAATCACAGTGCTGTAATAGTGGCTATCCAACCGACAGAAACAAGAATTTTGAGGTTTCGCAAATACAAAATATATGAGCATGATTCGATATTGTACTTATCAATGCTTTTCATACAAGTTACAACAAAGTATTCATGTTATGTATCCTGGGTTTGGACAGGTAAACAGGTTATGACATTTATATTGTGGAGCTGCAATCCCAACTTCATTCGATTTGATTTTGATGAAGTAAGCTTACAATTACATTTCTCCTCTTTTTAGCTAAATGAAAGTTGAGCCTCGCCACACTATTTAGTGCCATATTCTCAAATCTCACACAGTTATATCGTCACATTTATATTATAGTGCTAAGCTTACATTAAAATAATTTCAATGTTTTAGTTCGAGATTAGTGATATCTTGATATTGACCAAGATTTCTTAATAATACTAGGACAAATATAATCACTCCTCAGTCACATTCTAGAGTTCAGAAAAAGAGTAAAACACTTATTGAAAAATCACCAAAAATTTGCACAATTTTTTGGACATTTTTGGGCGGTAATGAGCGCGAATGATTATGTCCGTGAAAAATTTGGTCCGTGAAAAACTTGTCCCTGACAATTATGTCCGATAAGGTATATGCTTTCCCATGGACTCATTTTAAGAACTATAATTTTGCGCTCCAGAATCTTCCATCCGCAGTTATACCAACTACATCACTCGGTCAGCGAAAAGCGCCCACGTGCATATACTCAAGTACTCAAGTAGCTACTTGGAACAACCCTTATCTTATAATTATCTTCCTTTATATTGCGAGGAACCTTGCCCTAAACACTAAACCAACGCCCCTCAGGCGTCTCCGTTCCTGCCACAGATGGGCCAACCAGAATAGAGTATCCAAGTCACATGTCGCTGTGAACCAATCAGCGCGCACCAGCGCCATGGCAACCAACGAAATTGTCGTGTGTCGCTGTCACGTGATTTGGCTCGGCCTATCAGAGAAGCGCGTGTGAGACAAGTGGCGTGATAAAGGAGAGAGATACTAAGTACGTACTCACAAGGCAACCAACCAGGAGCCAGGAAAATGTCACGTGACTATGCTTGATCCTGAGTAAGATGGTCCGCACGAGCAGAGTTCATTTAACTTTTATTCCGTTCAAATTGGTTTCAAAATATAATTAATTCAACTCCACCAAGTGTGCTAAGTTAACCCAAGTTAGAAATTGTGTGATGTCTCCTGAAGCTGCTCCCCACAGGTTACTTTCACATTATTTCCTATCTTTAATAGAACTAAGTTAAGTATTAGCTTCCTGTAATTGGCTGGTTGCACTTGTGTAACATTGTGGCTGTTGGAATACACCGAAGTAAAATAAGTGTCTAGATTAAAAAAAAAATTTAAATGCTTACAACTATTATAAACGTCCTCTACAAATTTATCAGTTTTTACCGGCTTTTTTACCATAAATAAAGTTCACATTGATTTAGTCAGCATTCAAATAAGCGTTAAAGTGAAGAATTAAGTATGAAATGATACATTCAAAGAAATCATGTGATACAGAGCACAGTACCCTGGAAACGGAAATTGTCCATTGCTAAACCAGTCTAAACTCCAGTGGCGTAACGTTGCCTGTTGGCGCCCCCTGCCGAAAAAAGCGCCCCCTGTTGGCGCCCCCTCCCCTTTTGGTGCCCCTCCCTAAAATTGAACAAATTAGGTGATTTTAAAGAATACGCCGGTAAAATCTCTAAAAAAGTGTGTATCTAGAGCAAAACGCGCAGTTTTGCTAGTACTTTAGTTAAGTTTTCGAAATTGTCCCACATTCAAACGACGATTTGGCGCCCCCCTAAGACGGCGCCCCCTGCACAGCGGGGTCAGCAGGGCCTTTCGTTACGCCACTGCTAAACTCTACATTTTCATTTCTATTTCCATCCCAAAACAAATATCAAGTTCTGCACTCGGAATATCCTAGCAATGTAAGTGCTCAGTGTAGCGTTCAGGGCGTGTTCTGTGAATGGTACAGATTCTGAGAAATCTGTTATCTTTTATTTTGAAAGTTATTATTTTCAAAGTAAAGGGAATGATAAAATTTTGGTAAATATCGCCTGATCTTCGCAAGGATGTTGTGCTTATCTTTTTAATTTACATCAAGGCTCTATTAAAACACTAATAAGCTAATAGTTTGCACTTACAGATAATAAAACATTTTCTTGACTGTCATGCTGCAACATTATTGTGGAGCGTATAATCTATTTCAATAGTTTCCTACTCTCGTATTTCTAGTTTGTTAAACTTGAGGTTAATTTATTCGCCATTCTTACTTATAAAAACTAGCACGACATATAAAATGATAATCGAACTAAAAGTGTAAGTGCTTGAAAATCTGTTCAATGAACCACTGCTATCAGTTCCATCTCTTCAACTCCTAAATTTCTTCCCGAACTGTAATTTTATAGACTGCGTAACGATTTGATAATTTCAGTCCGAGATCTGACCCGGGTATGGTTCACAGTAGATACCCCAGTACCTCGGAGTACCCTCTAGGAGCTGACGAGAGATTCGCTTACAAAAACCGCCGCAAGGACCAGGTTTGCAACAACATAATTTTTATTTATGTAATAATAAAATAATAATAATGATTTAAATAATTTAATAAATAAATTTAATAAACAATTTATTTATAATGTGAGTCATCGGGAGATTTATATTCTCCTTGTAGATTTCTAAATATAACTAATGAGTGTTTCGTTGGCACTATGATGGTCAGTGGTGCCAATTGAGTCTTACCCATCTTACTCTTCAATAGCAAATTATAGATTTTATAATCTGAAGATCATATAACTGTAAAAGTGTAAAACGCTATTTTGCTTTTGATGATAAATCTTAGAACTTTCAGCGTAAGAAGCCAGCTTTCCCTAAAAGTGGAGGACCATCTATTTTAGTTTACGTTAAGGACGACCCCCGCAAGAACTCCAACAAGGTTTGTAATTTTAAATCTGTTTAAATCCGACAGAAATAATTCAAATTGCTCATCTCAAGAATTGACGATATCTTCTTAACAGAAAATCATATATCAATATGTAACTATGTCAACTAATCTCAATTTCAGAATATGTACCAGCACTACGGTCTTCTACCCCACCTACCTTTTCTACCTCCAGTTCCGTCCAATCAGGGATTTGATCCTCTCCGAATGCCTTACATGTGAGTATTAGAAGTATGCATTGTAATTATTGTTATCAAACCCGAATGGAACCCGTACGACTTGAGCTATAAGTATAAGTATAAGGCGCTCAACTCATATCTTGCTACATTGAGATTTGGGAGCCACATTTTAATTTGTATTATAGGAATATCACTCTAGCCCCTTACAGTAACATAATTTTAACTTGTTGTCCTTCAACAGAAATCCCAGTCTGATGATGTTCCCGCCTCTACCTCCTCTACCCCCACATCTCCTACAGAACCCCTTCCCTCAACAGAGGCAACGGTGAGAGCAAACATTTTCTTATACACTATATCAGACTTGAAGTGTGAAACTTTGGGAGGCAAACTCCTAGCCCTTGGAGTTGAAATTGATCAATATTTTTAACGATTGTTGTGTTTGCCCTAGCTTTAGGAATGTCTTTTTGAGTTGTCTCTTGAATTAATATATCAACGGATATATTAATTCAAGGAGCAACTTATCAATCCTAAATCTGTTCTCAGAACCTACTCGAGTCCAACCCTACCAAATTACAGCAGCACCCAAGCCAACTATACTACCCAGCAAATGCCAAACTTTACACCCACTCCAACCTTTACTTTTGCTTCCAACTACACTACCACCCCTAACTCTGTTCCACAAACTACAAGTGCTTCAGTCTACCCTCCGGGAACTAACCCTGCTTTTGAGATGCCAGCTCCCACAGGTAATAGTCATTTATGTGTTTTGTTTATTTCCTTGGTTTACGTGAGCGGCAGCACTGAATTATAGAATACTAGAATCTCATTAAACTATATAAAAAATAAGTATAAAGAATAAGGAAAAGGAACGGGAATGAAGCCAATACCAGAAGTGAAACCCCACCAAAGAATAATTGATCCTTAGGTAGACCTGGTGAAATAAAGTAACTGAACTGTAAGTTTAAGAAAAGACGGAAGGAATAAAGGAGAGAGGAAATAATGTTATGTGAACATCATCAGCAGATGACTTGGCACACCGGTTTCGGGGGTTTAATACCTGTACCGGTTTAATGTGCCAAGACCCCCTAGCAATCACTCGTCAGTGATCACCTGTTCACGTTAAATGTGATGTCAAGGATGTCGCTGACATCAAGCATACTGTATTTGTACAGAATACTAGGTCGGTCTTTCAGAAGCTTTCTGAATTTACTCTTCAGGAGTCTGTCATTATAACATCTTGAAAGAAGTGTCCTATAAATGGTGTTGGTAGAACACAGAAAAGAATCAAGGTCAGAGATAATGGAAGAGTAACGAAGGACCTGACCGTAAAAAACATTATAACCAACAGAAGAGGAAATATTACTGTTAGGAAAGGTGTACATGACCACAGGAAAGTTGAAGTCATCAAGTTTGTTGTAAAGCTTGGTGGCGACGTGTCCGGAGTTATTCATCGAGATGTTGATGTCGAGATAGTTTACGGACTTATTGTCGTCACCACTCCTCTCCATAAGCAGGTCAGGTGGATAAATGGACCTGATTAGGTTAGAGAAATGCAAATAGTTCAAAGCACATCATCTGCCACCATTCATGCATGAAGGTATTTGGCATAAAATCATGTCTTCTCTTCGTCGATGATTTCAGCAGCGATAAAGAACATAACTGATTAACAAAACAATAAACCGCTTTAACCAGGTACCAAAACTGACACAAATCAGTTCAACCCGTTCCCGACAACGCTCCCTTGCACCATGGCTTACCACTTACCCACCCCTTACTACACTCTCCCTACTGGACCGGTTACCGGTCAGAGGACGCCTCAGCAGAATCCTCTTCCACAGAACCCTCTTCCACAGAACCCTCTTCCAGGACAACTGGACCAGAATCCGTATGTTGCTCAAAGCAGGATGACAAACTCTACCTCTGGCTCTAAGACTAAATTCAGCCCACAATACTCTCCAGCACAGGTATTTTTATATTGAAATTATCTTAAATAATTATAGTCGCCGTATGATACTTTATTCCAAAATCAGATAATTTGTAATTAATGTAAGTTAACTATTAGTTTAACTGGTGCATTTTACCTTTCCCTATTTCGTGAAATTAAGTAATAACTGATAAAGATCACTCCTAAGAACAAACCCCTCAGATCCCGGTAAAGACAGGTCAGGTGGATTCCAGTACTCAATCCAGCCCCCTCTCTGCCGAACAGTTCCAGGACTCTAGTCCTGTTACCAACCAGCCACCTTCCTATCCCAATGCTTACTCTGCAAAGTGCAACTGTGAGCAGTGGTAAGTGAATATTTGTGTTTTTTATCTTTTACCTATCAACCTTGAAGTTGAATTTGTAAGTGTAGAACGAGAAATGTAGCGTCCGTTCACAAACAGGCCGCAGTCCATTGTTAAGTTTGATGTCGAAGTCTTGCTAGACCATCCGCTCAATTAGAAACATTTTTTGCCGAATTGTCTCTACAAATCCCAAAGATTCACTTCACGTGGTTAAAGTTTTATTAAGCTCAGCACCAAATTAACAGCCTACCTCCACAGTCAAAGTTCTCCAACGGGAAGTGACTCCAGCATTTCTACAAACGACAGTGGGTACATAGAGGGCGGGAAAAGTTTCTCTGCTTTTAAGGTAAAGGTCCCTGAAATCCTTTTCATAACATTAATTGTACTTCGTTTTCATGATCATAGTTATGCTGTGGGAATGAAAATTAGACCCAACTATAAAGAATTAAGCCAGACTCTACGTAATGCGTTAGGTAAAAGATTATGTGATGTAGTCTCTGTAGCGAATAATTAGATATGGAACGTAATAATCCCAAATTATATTAATAATTAATCGGGGCACTTCACAGACGATTCCATCGTTTCGCTGACAAATTTCTCCTTTCAGGACGACAGCGGAGAGAGACCACTGCTATTCTGTGATCAAAACAACCCCACATTCTCCCTGGACCCGGCTTCTCTATCTCACTACATGGGGGTGAGTAACTAGCACGTGCACTATTTGGGGGTGAGTAACTAGCACGTGCACTATTTGGGGGTGAGTAACTAGCACGTGCACTATTTGGGGGTGAGTAACTAGCACGTGCACTATTTGGGGGTGAGTAACTAGCACGTGCACTATTTGGGGGTGAGTAACTAGCACGTGCACTATTTGGTTATTTGACTTTGAATACCTGTGAGTGTGACTTGAAACCCGCTACCGATATACTGATATTGGACAAATCTAACAAATCTGAGCCTTTTGGAAACGAAACAGTTTACAAGGTTAGGTCAAAATATCCTAGTTTTCCGAACTCCGTAACTCCTAAATGTAACTCCGTAATGATTGAAGTTGAACCCTACAAAATACAAATAGTTTTCCGAACTTTAACTGTAACTCCGTAATGATTGAAGTTGAACCCTACAAAATACAAATAGTTTTCCGAACTCCGTAACTCTTAACCGTAACTCCATAATGATTGAAGTTGAACCCTATAAAGAAGCTGCTTAGCTATATTATATATCCAGCATGTTTCATGTTTTGGTTTGTCTTCGAGTGTCTAATTTATCACCAATTAATTAAATATCCTTGTCTTGCAGATGGCACGTCGAGAGAACATTGACCGGAACGAGCACTTGTTCCTGGACGAAAAGAGACAGATCCGCAAGAAGATCCCTTGCAGGTACGTCACTATGTCAACCGTAGTTTCTATAACAACCGTCATTTCTATAACAACAGTAGTTTTTATTATATGACAACTTTTATTATATGAAAACTTTAGTTGTTGTACTGCATTAGTGATTTTTTGGCACCAATAAATCGATAGGATCTGTTATTTTGGAAACTTCTCGTATATGTAGCTTTCGCTGATAATCCTCAGGTTGACAGTTGAGTTATTTTTATTAAAATATAACCACCTACAGGAACCTAAGTCAGACAGGAGTGTGTCAGTTCGGTGAAACGTGCTGGTTCAACCACCAGCTCTACAATAACTAAGAGGAAGAAACTTTATTCAGAAGAGAGACTTTGTCGGTGATATTGGTAATTTTATGATATCGTTTGTAGTATTACATACTTATATTTATTATTTATTATTTATAGGGTTTGTGCTGTTTAAATAAGGAATAAAATATTTTTTAGTTCCAAAATGGCTTGTAAGACTTTGACTTTAAAATGTGTATTTTATGTGAATTTTGAACTTGTATCCTAAATTTTCCGTGCTTTTCGAAATTCAAAACTGCTTAAATTTCTAGAGTGTCTAATATTATTATTGCCAACAATTTAACTGACTTATATTTGAATATTTAGGTTTCTATTGAAATTTATCTTGTGATCTTGGGTGAGGTCTAAGTGGCCATTTATTATTTATTCTATTTTAATATTCAGATTTCAAAAGATAACTTATTAAATTTGATTATTTATTTGAATATTTAACTTTTCAATTTATAACTTATTCAAGCAAGCTATTTGTTGATGGGTTAAATTTAACATTGATTTGTAAATCAACTAGCTATTCTTTATGTAGGAGTGTTTGAAAAATTCCGGCCGGATTTCCTATCGTATGTTTTGACTTTAAATTGAATCATTGACTCCATTTATTTACTGATGGTAATATTTTACAGTTGAGTTTCCATTATAAAATTGTTTAAATTTGTTCATTTTAAAGGGTTGTCAAATGATAAGCATTAAGCCACACAAATTAAACTGACTACTATTAAAACTGCCCGAGTTAGCCCACAAATCTGTACTAGACAAACTATAGAAACAGCTCCTTTGAATCTTATCCTCATTCTGCAACTATAAGCTTAATTAGTTCAAAAGTAAGTTATATTTATCAATATCTGACAAACACTTAGTTTACTAATTCCAAACCGACTCATGGTGGCCTTATTATTAGGACTCTAAGACTTTAGACTATAAGCGCCCAACTTGTGAACTGGAGTCTACGCCAATACTAATAATGTTCCGTATTTTTGCTATGATCATGTATTATATGAGTATTACCTGGTCTGAATGGTAAATTATAAGGATCGGAGCTCTTAATTCATTCTGTCTTCATTTTAGATTAGAAGCAGTATTTTAGTACTTGAAGTGACAAATTGCACTGGGAAGGCAAGCTTTGAAGCATGACGTACGTTCGTAATCTTACCACTAACGAAACAACCTCTGCTTTATTTATTATAGCCGTGATCCGGGAATTGTTCTCTCCATGAACTACTATTCTCACTCTCAGCGCCAACTTCGAGTTGAGAGACACATGTGTCATGTAAAGGACCAAATTTTAAGATTTCTTATTTAGATACATAGTTTGGTAGAGGCAAAGTAAATGTAAACTGTGCTTTGCCTTCTTGCTCTTACAACTGACCTTCTCAACGTACAAGCTATAATAACAGGTATAAGGGTCAAGTCACGTCCGCATCGCATGCGATCGAGCTAAGCGTAGCGCGTGGGAGAGCGCGCGCGTCTTTAGTTTTACTGGGTGATTTATTGTCATGCTGCATATAAATTTTATTTACGCGCGTTCCAGTATGTTATCATCAAGAGAATGGTTTTTCACATTTCGGGGTGTCACGATGTGAAGTGCGTATTTTGTGAACTTTAAATGTGCTAATCTGAGGCATCATTTTACACCCGATGTTCTGATACTGCTTACACTATCCTCGGAACATTCCACTTTGGTCAGCCGTCATCTCCTACTTCATAGCCTAGATATTATTATGTTTACCCTGCTAGATATAATCATACCAGGAAACGTGAAAAATATTGTGTTTCATCCGGAATGATAAGTTGAGGTGGTTCCAAGAAACGATTTTTGATGTTTTAATCAATCCACGAATTTTAATCAATCCACGAATTTAATCAATTTAATTAACCAATACTTAATAATAGTTATCGTATCACCATGAGCGACCAAAAATTGGTCAGCAGTCGGAACGTTCAGTGGCTAAATTGATTATGTAATTAAACTGGAAACTAGATCATTGACAAATATATATGGAGTCAAAAATATAAATGTTAAAACTTCGAATTCCATCCCATATTACTGGTGAGATTTTGGAGCCATCTCGAGTCCTTTAGAACACCACTGCTTCCACGTCACACCACCAACCTTAGCAATATAGCACTAAGGAATGTGGTTCCCGCATCAACTAGAAACTTGGCCTAAGGAGTTATCAAATTACGTTCTTGACAATTTATTCAATTGGTATCCTGGCATCAAAGATATGTGAGTTTTAATACTTCACAGTTTGTAATCACATTTAAGTAACATAAGTAAGTAATCAGCTGCAATTGAAGCGTTGTGGCAAGGTACCAAGCAGGCATTCCCGCCATGGAAGCGTTTCGTTATCTTGTTTCTGACAAGGAATGAGTAATGAGGAAAATGTCTGTTTCAGAACCAAATAAATGGTATTGAGGTATGGGAGGGTGTTACTTTTTATTTTGAGAACAGGTTTTTATCAGAAAATATTACAGTTACCATGAGTACAGTTACCATGAGTACAGTTACCATGAGTACAGTTACCATGAGTACAGTTACCATGAGTACAGTTACCATGAGTTCAGTTACAATGAGTACAGTTACCATGACTACAGTTACCATGAGTACAGTTACCATGAGTACAGTTACCATGAGTATAGTTACCATGAGTACAGTTACCATGAGTACAGTTGCCATGACTACAGTTACCATGAGTTCAGTTACAATGAGTACAGTTACCATGAGTACAGTTACCATGAGTACAGTTACCATGAGTACAGTTACAATGAGTACAGTTACCATGACTACAGTTACCATGAGTACAGTTACCATGAGTACAGTTACCATGAGTACAGTTACCATGAGTACAGTTACCATGAGTACAGTTACCATGACTACAGTTACAATGAGTACAGTTACCATGAGTACAGTTACCATGAGTACAGTTACCATGAGTACAGTTACCATGAGTACAGTTACCATGAGTACAGTTACCATGACTACAGTTACCATGACTACAGTTACAATGAGTACAGTTACCATGAGTACAGTTACCATGAGTACAGTTACCATGAGTACAGTTACCATGAGTACAGTTACCATGACTACAGTTACCATGACTACAGTTACAATGAGTACAGTTACCATGAGTACAGTTATCATGAGTACAGTTACCATGAGTACGGTTACCATGAGGACATAACCATGAGTACAGTTACCATGAGTACAGTTACCATGAGGACATCAAGGTTTCATACAAATTTTAATTTCACCAGAAACGTGAAAATAAACTGGGCACATAAAAATCTTTCTTAGTTAGAAAGGTTTAACTTGAAACATCAGCTCACTCACACAACCCACACCGCCAGATATATTCCGATAACGTTTTATTTTTTATCTCACCAATCTAAAAGCTTTTATCGAATTGAGGGTTTCTGTAAATTGACATCGTGCATTAAAATCTTGTTCTATAATAGAACAGAAGGCAGTTATTTTATCATCATAATGTATCCATTGATAAATATCTGATTGACAAAATAGTTAATGGATATTTTATCCCGTGACCTCGTCCGAGCACTCCCATTGGTTGGATAAAAACCAAGTGACGGAGTAGCTGACTTCCCATTGGTCCAAGTTTTGATTGTGATTGCAAGAAAAAGCTTTTAAGTTTAGAGGGTTACGTTCTCGTTAGAAAGCATTATATATAAAGTGTAATTAACTGGGAGAACCAATTGTTCTAAAAGATACAGACCACGTGGCCAAGGGCGCGGCGCAAAATGGGAATTCTGCAGATTTTGATCAACGGGTAATTATATTTTTTAAATTAACAGTTTGCTACGACTGGTGGCGAAGGTGTCTGTGGTAAAATCTTTTAAAAATATGTTGAAATAGACTAACAGATTGTGGGAGTGCTAATAAAATTCTATTATAGTATTAATCCCAAGCTGGAAAGTTTTACGACAAAAATTATCTGCTCGACAATCTCTAGTTTCTAAGAAATTGGGAGGAACTAAACATGTTGAAAGATCTATCAGATTCTGTTGAAATTGGGAGGAACTAAACATGTTGAAAGATCTATCAGATTCTGTTGAAATTGGGAGGAACTCTCCTGAACATTTTGAAAGATTAATCAGATTTCGTTGAAATTGGGAAGAACTCTCCTGAACATTTTGAAAGATTGATCAGATTCTGTTGAAATTGTTGCACGATTGAAAGTATTCCTTGTTGCAGGGTGCAGCGGGTTCAATTTGTTATTAATAGTGACTGTGAAGCACCTTATCCTAAATAGCTTCCTGTCAAACTCAGCTTCTAAACAGTTTGACAAAATCTAGTCTAAGGTAATAAAATATCTCTAGAGAGTAAACTAATGCCTCTTAAGTTGTATACCTGACATTCAAATAGCCGGCTGCCGGAGTCCTACCCCAGCTACAGTGGAGCTGGCTACCGGAGCTGGCTACAGTGGAGATGTATACTCCTTACGTGCATACTGCGTGACGCAAAAAGGTCAAATCAGTGATGTTACTTTATAAAGTATAAATACAATTGATGTCATATCTTTAGACAATAACGACACTACAGTTATCTGAGAAACAGAAAGCAGGGAAATTTTCAAATTCAGCATAGTTTATTGGGACCCATTTGTATTACCTTAACGACGAAAAACTCATCGAATAGATCAAATGCAAATATTTTACTTATCTATTTCTATGTATAATCCTGTTTGATAGTCGTCATATATTTTTGAAAAGACGTGTTTTGATCAAATTGCTCACGTTTATTTTACAGGGTAGATGTTTTCATTTGATAATCTTTGCTAACTCCTCGAATTTGTCTTAACTTAACCAAGCTGTCCGACCTCCTGATTAAAATTATACCGCTCCTCACGAAGTTTTAATTATAATCAGTGGACATACCTAAAATACGGCAATATTAATCGCCTAATAGCAAAAATTTGAAGCTTTCTTAGCTGTCAAGAAACCCCGATACCTGGACAGAAACTGCCATCTCACCTCTGCGTCACTCCCACTCCGATACCAAAACTCAAGTTCTCTCAGATCAAGGTCAGTCCAAATAAATTGGACTCGTCAAGGGATGGGAAAATGCGATTAATATTGTAATTAACTTGTCAGTACAAGACATGTCATGTGTTCCCCAGTCAGGAGCTCGGATCTTAGTTCGCAAGGGCACGTGACCACTAAAAATAACCATGGTTACCACGGGATCAGCACGTGACTATCGGGGAGTCGTCACGTGTGCGAAGTTAGAGTAGGGTCTAACAGTCCAGGACGATCGTTCCGGTCCGCACCGACAGATTTATTGCCAATAAATCGGGGCAAAATTAATGAAATCTCGGATTTATTAACCCTGACGTTTCGGATTCGAGTCTGAAGATCGGACGGGCTGACGGGGTTAAAGTTAATTTAGCGCTAAATTAATTTCTTGAGCTTCAGTCGATATATGTAATACGTGGAGTGGAGCACTATAAGTGGTTACTACATGAAATTTGGAACGATTTGGCATTCCGGGTAGTTCATGACTCATGATTCAGAGGGTTTCACAGGTGAAGTGGACTAAAAATCATTTGACTGTTTCATGGGTGTTCCCTGGTAAATATTGGAACAAAAAGCTCTTCAATAACTTAAACTTTAACTATGTAAAGAAGCCAATATTTTACCTGAGGAATCTTAATTCACTTTGCCCAACTAAAACTAAATTTATTGGATCTAACCATTGGGGAGAAGCCCAACTTTTAGCTTACAAACCATTATATACTCCAACATCTTAAACTAAGTTGATTAAACTTATTACTAATAGCAGAAGCCATAACTTTAAGCTAATTAGACCAAGTTGATATTGAACTTGATAATGGTATCATGCCCCTGAATTATCATCTCACACGCTTGCTCACGTGACGTCACACTCGCCCTCACGTGACGTCACACACTTGCTCATCACTTTACCATTACCATCACACACCGGGAACATCTGCCATAAGAATATAAGTACCCCACTTGAAACTGTTAATAAACTCAGCCAATCTCCTCTGAATGAACAGTTAGATTTGTAGTAACAGCAAATAAACAAGTATAACCGAGAACTCTCATTAGGCTGAGCCAATCAACGGCTGTTCCTCTCCGAGACACACCACTGACAAACCAATCAAATCCACGCAATACCAGAATACTAGTATAATGTGAGGTCGAGACGTTTTGAGTAAATGTCAGTCAGTACAGCTTCTTAGCTGCTTATTAAATTTGCTTGAGTGGGTAGAACATATTATCTTAATGAGTCATCAGCACCATCTCTCAGAGGAATTAGCTTGACGGCACTGGTAGAGAGATTTATAGTGCAAGTTTTGACACACTCTGATTGCGCCTCCATTAAGCAGACTAGGAGACTAGGATTGCTTGCGGAGAGGGACTCCTGGTATATAGTTATAACTATATACCAGGTTTCAGCGCAGGAACGCAATGAGGGATCTGTCCCTGGACATTCATTGACTCATTCATAATGACTTGAGAAACAAAGTTTGGGTGTCAGACTTCGGGGGTGGGGGGGGGGGGGTATCAGAATGAGGTAGGACTGCTGCAATAACCATTATCGGGAAACAGTTTAAAGTGAAGTAGCTTTTTGTAATGTCTTCCCAAGATCTCAATTACTAGTCTCCGCCCTGGTAACAGGTAAATGTGTTAGTTGAATAAGTAAAACGCAATTATGCCCAGCAAAGATGATGTCATTTTCACTTGGCTTGTCAAGTAAAGTGGACGTTTACATATTACGTAAAAGAGGGGGTTTCTCAATGATTACCCTAGTGTAATTACTAATTTTAATATAATAGCTAAGTGTAGTACTTATTACGGAGGGGGGGGGGGGGGGGGGGTTAAAATTGGCAGTCAGGATCTAACGTGCCTGCTAAGTTTTTGATTAACATTTAACTGCCCTTAAGAAGAATTATAGGATGAGTTTTAACAGTGCATTGGTCTTGTGATATGACTTGAGGAAGTTAAGCCATTCTAGAAGGGTGGCATTCAGTTCTTTATCTTCCGGAAATCTTCTTTTAAAATCTATTTTGCCAATATTGATTCTCCCCATCTCACCCACCTCTCAAGTTTCGTTTCTGTATTCGTAAACCCCCAATTCAGGAATGGAAGGTGACAGCACGGTTCTGAAATATACACGTCACGTATTCTTATTGGAGATAGAACAATCAACAACCCCGCTCTTAACAAGGGGACCTCCAATCATAAACATTAGATAGGATTACACCATAACAGCTCCTAATTAATTACCATGACGACCTGGACATTCTCACTGTTTCCGGGGCTCCCATAGGCGGGATTAAGTCACGTGGGAGATCAATCGAGGTTTTCATTGGCTGGTACCGGGACGGTGTCATTAATTACAGGCTAGTTAAGATGGAGCTGATTTAACTAATTCTACTCGTAGAGCTGAATCTGTGGTTGGGGTTTAATCGTTAAAGAGGGATACGGTGTCACTCCCCCAGCTCACGTGACGTCGCACTCGCCCTCACGTGACGTCACACTCGCCCTCACGTGACGTCACATACTTGATACGGTGTCACTCCCCCAGGGAGGACATGTACTTTTCACATACTCCTGTGGCTTATACATGATACGCTTGAAATGGAGACGTGAGTCAAAATCGTCGTTTGGCTTTTTCATGGAGATTGGTTGTATGAGTAACCAACTTAGCTTCCAGAGGTAATAAGGGCACTGGCAGTAAAGTAAATACACAGTACACAGTGAGGTGTTCACCTTTTTGGCGTCATATCAAGAAATAAGAGTATTTAAGTATCATGCCTTCATTTCAATTGTGCTTGTGTCATGGAATTCAATAAGGTATCTTGGAAATTATTCAGATATTGTTTTATTGGTAATACATTTTCATTTCCACTATGTTGAAAACCAGCTCGTGGCTTGTGGAATCAGACTACAGGATTTTCACTTAAAATTTAGAAATTAAATATTTTCAAAGATTTTCTACAGTAACTTCAGGAAGATTCCAGGTTTGGTACGAGGTATCGCAACCAGGTGCACCTATTTAAACACTGCAGCTTAAGAGATTGATATTAACTCTACAGTTAAAAGTACCAACAGTTCATTTACTCCTTCATAAATCCAACAGTTCATTAGACTATTAGACCCGGACTAAAGATTTTCATTCAACTTTTTTTAAACGATATGAAAATTAGCAGCCCCACAAAGTACTATTGAGAAAGCAGCACTATTGTGCGGGGCTACTTTGTTAAATAGAGAAAAAGAGGTCATTGCCCGTGTAATTACAAATTATCCCACTCATCAGTTCAATTTTGCGGGGATAAAGTGCTTTTTGCAATTTTCTAAGGGTGAAGATTTGTCTTTTCTGAGGTATGATTGCACGTTACTCGCAGTGAAAATCGTTTAGTGGTCGAGATAATCGAGAGAGCATTCTGTATTATTGAGTCATTGAACCTACTTAAAGTTTGAGGAATCACCGTAAGACATGGTGCATTATAGTCTTCAGCGCAGAAAAATAATTGATTTAGAGTTATATCAATAGATTTAGTGGTTATTTTCCCCAGAGATTTGGAGAGGGCAGATAAGGTGTAGGGGGGTGTGTAGAAAAGTAAAACTCAATTTTATAATTTGGTAAAAGGATTGCACAGTGGGGTTACATAACAAAACAGTAAGGTTGATGATAATATATCACTGCATATTATTATATATCATAATATATATATCATTATATATTATCATATATAATAATATATGTTGGAAGATTCGAGTCTAAACTAGCGAAATTTCGGTGAAAAAAGCATAGTTCAGTAGCGAATTAATTGTTGGGGAACACCGTGCACAACATAAAACTGCTTCATGGTTTCTATGAGATTGTCACAGCAACACATAAATTATGTGACATAATGTTATAAAAACATAAAAAATTATATCCAATCTTGGTAGTTAAGACCTAAAGATATGTATGGAATGTAAATTGAAGCCCGAATTAAAAGCACATTAAATTATTTGAACGAATGATTAAACCCATCAATTTTCACACAAAGAAGTCTTTATTCACCACAGAATTTTGAGCAATTTTCGTTCATAACACATTCTCAAAACAATGGAATCATCAATAATTCTGTGGCAAAGTAAGACTGGCTCAATCTGATATGTTTCACACTAAGTTATCACAAGTCACAACCCTAAACTGAGAACACAATGTTTTATCTCAATCGACTGAAATGTAAAATTCAGCGCAATACAATCTCCTTTCTATAAAGGAAAACATAAAGATGTAGCATTTAAAAACTACAAGTTATAAGCACTTATGTGTTAGTGCCTAATCGTGCCACACAAGATTAGCATTTTGGATGCGTCGCAGATTAAGGGAGAGTATAACAGTCAATAATTTAATTTCAAAATGCAGGGAACTCGGTCGGAACCAGTTGTTGATTTCAAGTAAATACCAAGCATGTCAGGTATTTTTAAGAGGGAAGATGAACCTACTCGACGCACCATCAAATGTTATATAATATTATATACACAAACATACACAAATCGTAATCAAAACGGAAACCAGTTTTCTGAAACCGCTCAAAGTTCACTTCTATTTAACACAAAAACTCGTCAAAACGTCCCGTGTCCACTTAACTTCCGACATTTCATCGTCACAAATTGCACACTTATCATCGAAATCATAAGAATATCCGCGGATTTTGCGGATTTGTTTCATCAGAACAGACCATGATTCTGGTTCATCATTGTGGTTATAGGCATGGAGTTTTGGCTGTTTTGCATCTGGTTCCTTGAGGCACCACCCCCCATTGTCACGATCAGTTTGCTCAGCCGCTTCCCTATTGCTCGGCGATTTTGGAACCTGACAAGAGTAAGAATATGAAATAATCAATTAGATTATGAATTAATTAATTAGATGGTTAATTATTGATGGTCACTGATTTGTTTGTGTAAATTTGAATACTTCCTGCGATGTGAGAACCGTGTGATGTGACAAAACTTGACTCTCGACAAAAGAGTAACCCGATTCTGGATAGTTGATTTTCTAAAGTTTTTTATAATTTACTAATAGATCAGGATACTGCTGGAGCGGTGAGCCCTATTTGTTTTGACATGTGACATTAATCTCTGTCACGTGTCAGAACAATTATGGAATTAACCTTCCAACAATATCCATATCTACCAATAAGATAATTAATTAACGCTCACAGATTTCCTCGTGAAAACATGATCACTGTCACTGTCACTGTCACTGTCACTGTCACTGTCACTGTCACTGTCACTGTCACTGTCACTGTCACTGTCACTGTCACTGTCACTGTCACTGTCACTGTCACTGTCACTGTCACTGTCACTGTCACTGTCACTGTCACTGTCACTGTCACTGTCACTGTCACTGTCACTGTCACTGAAAAATAAAAAAACTCTAAAAAATCAACCAACCAGATTCGGATCACCCTTTTGTCGAGAGTCAAGTTGTTGGATAAGTTTCCAATCTCTTCTGTGCTTGGGAGAGGGTTCGTTTGGTAATATTGCTCTAGAACTTCCTGAAAACAGAATATTCCAGTTAGAATTAAAGGTGTAACTAATGGTGTTTAGGCAGTTAGTTCGTGAGTATTCAGTAATAGTTTGGTGGTTTGGTAGTTTGTCACCAAGTAGCAATGGTCCCAATTTGGTACCATTAAGGGGTTGTAGCAGCTCATGTTAACGTTTAGGGGCGAGAGGTAGGGGGGTGGGGGGGGGGGGGGCTGGGGGGGGTGTTTACCCGAGATTTCTATCTTTCTATACTAGTACATGTCGGGGTGGTCCAGTTAAAATGGATAACTATTTTCTCTGGAAAGTTCCTATCTGAATACCTCCTTCTCAGTTCTCACCTTGCTGTTGCTACTGATTGTTGTTCTCTTTCTCCTCTTCTGGTTTCCATTCTGATTGTTGCCATGGAGAGCGCTGGGGGAGTGATGTCGTCGTTTAGCCGGATTCTCAACACTCTCCAACCAGCGACGCAAGATTGGGATTATCTTCTTGTGGTTTGGGAAACTAGGGGGAGAATGGTTTACAGCGACGCAAGATTGGGATTATCTTCTTGTGGCTTGGGAAACTAGGGGGAGAATGGTTTATAGCGACGCAAGATTGGGATAATCTTCTTGTGGTTTGGGAAACTAGGGGGAGAATGGTTTATAGCGACGCAAGATTGGGATTATCTTCTTGTGGTTTGGGAAACTAGGGGGAGAATGGTTTATAGCGACGCAAGATTGGGATTATCTTCTTGTGGTTTGGGAAACTAGGGGGAGAATGGTTTATAGCGACGCAAGATTGGGATTATCTTCTTGTGGTTTGGGAAACTAGGGGGGGAATGGTTTATAGCGACGCAAGATTGGGATTATCTTCTTGTGGTTTGGGAAACTAGGGGGAGAATGGTTTACAGCGACGCAAGATTGGGATTATCTTCTTGTGGTTTGGGAAACTAGGAGGAGAATGGTTTATAGCGACGCAAGATTGGGATTATCTTCTTGTGGTTTGGGAAACTAGGGGGAGAATGGTTTATAGCGACGCAAGATTGGGATTATCTTCTTGTGGTTTGGGAAACTAGGGGGAGAATGGTTTATAGCGACGCAAGATTGGGATTATCTTCTTGTGGTTTGGGAAACTAGGGGGAGAATGGTTTATAGCGACGCAAGATTGGGATTATCTTCTTGTGGTTTGGGAAACTAGGGGGAGAATGGTTTACAGCGACGCAAGATTGGGATTATCTTCTTGTGGTTTGGGAAACTAGGGGGAGAATGGTTTATAGCGACGCAAGATTGGGATTATCTTCTTGTGGTTTGGGAAACTAGGGGGAGAATGGTTTATAGCGACGCAAGATTGGGATTATCTTCTTGTGGTTTGGGAAACTAGGGGGAGAATGGTTTATAGCGACGCAAGATTGGGATTATCTTCTTGTGGTTTGGGAAACTAGGGGGAGAATGGTTTATAGCGACGCAAGATTGGGATTATCTTCTTGTGGTTTGGGAAACTAGGGGGAGAATGGTTTACAGCGACGCAAGATTGGGATTATCTTCTTGTGGTTTGGGAAACTAGGGGGAGAATGGTTTATAGCGACGCAAGATTGGGATTCTCTTTTTGTGGTTTGGGAAACTAGGGGGAGAATGGTTTACAGCGACGCAAGATTTGGATTATCTTCTTGTGGTTTGGGAAACTAGGGGGAGAATGGTTTATAGCGAACATCTAGGCAACCGGAAATTTATTCTAACGATATTCTTGATAAAACAAGACCATGAAGTGTTCCAAATATTTAAAACACCCAGTATAGATAATAAAATGTAACTCGGGGTAACAACAAAAAATCTAGACATACCTCAGTTGGAGACCCTCAAATCTTGAGATCGTGGTCTGGCTGAACTCAGGTCCGTGAACCAGCGCAAGGGCTGCTCCCACGTGGGCTTGAGTGTATCCCAACTTTACACGTTTCGTTTTAAACTCATTGACAAAACCTTCAACTTCCGACCAAGTCAGGTGATCTTCAGACTGAGGGAGATTACGAGTTAGATAAGGGGGAAGATAAGGGGTTAGATAAGGGGGAAGATAAGGGGTTAGATAAGGGGTTAGATAAGGGGGAAGATAAGGGGTTAGATAAGGGGGAAGATAAGGGGTTAGATAAGGGGGAAGATAAGGGGTTAGATAAGGGGGAAGATAAGGGGGAAGATAAGGGGGAAGATAAGGGGAAGATAAGGGGTTAGATAAGGGGGAAGATAAGGGGTTAGATAAGGGGGAAGATAAGGGGTTAGATAAGGGGGAAGATAAGGGGTTAGATAAGCAGAAAAGGGGTTAGATAAGGGGGAAGAACGATTATGAATCGCGGAAATTCGGGATTATGGTTTGTCAGGTTTTTTTTTTGCTAACCACTGTGGACAAAAACAGCTGTGCTGTAACTCTCTTTGTAGCATGATACAGCACTTCAAACTTACAAAGTGACCATATAAGGTTTTATGAATAAGGTAAATTGATAATCATAACTATAAGTACATATATCTCTAATATAAAATAACGATGTACTGATATATGAATATACATGGACAGTGGACTCATAGGGTCACGCCGCACGCTTGATCTATAAGATTATAATAATTCAAAAGGCCCGATCGCACACGGCACAGTGTCACTTGTAATAAATTGGGCAATTCGGTAATCTTCCGATGCACACATAACGTACGGTTAAGGCACACATAACGTACGGTTAATGCACGGTTGACGCACAATGGTTACCTAAGGCACGGTTAATGAATGGACACTTAACCGTGCCTTAACCGTGCGTTATGTGTCCATCGGAAGATTACAGAATAAATTGAGTGGTATGATTCTAGAATATACTTCATAGTTGATAATATCCACCTTAACTCCTTACGGTAAACTATTTGAAGCCACGAAAAAAAGGTCTCCCACCAATTTGTAAAATCCAAATCTTAACCATTTATAGTCCACTATTAATATTATCTCCACAACGAACCCCCTTATTATTTGACAGTGACACGTACTCCAAAATAATTGCTCTAGACAGAATAACCCTCGCTAGTTTTAAATTTCACAACTGCTCACTAGAGAAGCTCTTTCATCTTTGTGTACAGGGTGGTATTATTAAACTGATTAAAAACATGCAATTATACCAGCCAGGTATACAATTACAAGTAATACGGCTGGCACTATGTTAATACTGATAACATGGTTACGATATGAGTCGTTTGTGATGTCATAATGTTAATTTATTCGTCCAAAGTCGGCTGATAACAAAAACAAATGCTGTCATGTGATGAGCAGGGTGGGCAACAATTCTCGAATTTTCCATGACGTAATTTTCATTCCGTGCAGTTAACTTAAGGAGTTGGAGAAATTTGAGGGTTTTAGAGTTTAGACATTTCAAAGCGTCCAGCTTGATGAGGATTTAATCATGCCACTTAAAACTTGTAAAATTAATTAAAACGGAAAATACCCAAAATATGGAATATGGATACATCACAATTTAACTGATTAAAAAATAACCTCAAAACTCTTGATAAAAATAATCTTCAATCAATTAATTAAAACCAATTAAAGCTAATTAACCAATTACCTCGAATCCCTCAGGTAGAGTGATATTGCTTGTATCCTGGTCTGCTGCTTGGTAGTGTCTTGACCTCTCCGGCTTCACATGATGATGGTTATCTAGCGAACTGTATCCGTCCGTTTTCTGTGAAAATAGATTACTTTACTGAATAATTAATTGGTTATTGAGAAATCGATTAATTAACGATAAATTGAGAAATATTAATTTGTAAGCCATAAATCCCTCATGTTGCCACGTGCTACTAAGTATATCTCTCTCTCTCTCTCTCTCTCTCTCTCTCTCTCTCTCTCTCTCTCTCTCTCTCTCTCTCTCTCTATTTTACAAATTTTTACAGTTATATACCAACTTTAAAGCCAATGTAAATTGCTGGTCTATAATATTTTACAGGTTCGTTTGATCTCACTGATATTTAACACTTTTAGACACTACTTTGCCAGGGGCCATTAAGGGACGCTTCACGTATAATCCCCTCGATTGCTTCACCGTTAAGGGGGTTAAACTAACTGACCTTATAAGTTCAAAAACTCCGCAAAACAGTCTTATACGATAATTACAAGTTGCGATTCTTTTGTAGAGACAAATTTATTAATATCAGTCGGGAAGGACTGGCTAAAATAGAGCTCTCTGATTGGTTAGTTAAGGACTGACTAAATTTCCTTGATAAACATATTCTGGAGAGACTACATATGACAAGATTCTCTCGTGAGTCCCCCGTTAGCATCACAAAATGCGAGAATATTGTTCGAAAGACGGGCTTTAATTAAAGTATAATGACAAATCGTTAAAGTAAACGCCGGGGGATGACAAATTACGGAGACAATTTAAAAACATTGCGATTGCTTGCGGAGGCTGAATCAGATTGGATTGGGTCATTTGGCTAGTTCGTGTGCAAAAATTAAGCAGGATTTACGGTACACAAAGATTGCAATTCTATCAATACTAAAAGCGACCTCGTAACTAAACTGGACCATTCGTAATTTTTAAAAGTGGATCACAAATTAGAAACTCTATTAGTAATCTAATGATTCTCCACTCACCAGAGCTTGTTCCATATTGTAAAGAGGCATGCCACAGAGAGACCCCAGGAGATTACGGTTGCTTGCGGAGGTTGAAGTTGGGAGCTGGCCGAGGAGAGAGGCTGCTTGTGCCATGCTGATTGTAGATCTGGTGGAAATGCCGGGTTAAACAGAGGCCGGAACTCAAGCTGGAAGTTTGGGAAATATTTCCTAATTTGTAGTCTATAATTGGTTAGTAAGGTGGTAACGACTACTTTGTGCTAAGTGCTACTAGATTAGAATAGTGTAATAGTGGAAGTGTATTTTTAGCAAGCTCCTTCTAGGGCATAATAATATCGCATGATGATTTTTTTATGAATTCATTTAATTCGATAATAACCAACCGAATTAAATCAATAATCCAGTAAGATTCCAGAATTAGTTCCTTATCTTACCCAAGATATTGAGATAGATCTGCACCACTGGAAATATTTGGAGACAACGAATCCAAAACTGCTTTACGTCCCAAAACATCTGTCAACTGAGGGCGTAATTCAACGTTTATTGGCAATTGTAAACCGATTATTGATCGATTAACGATCCATTATTGATCAATTAACAATCCATTATGGATCAATCATTGATAGATTATCGATCGACCAATGACTTATCGAGTCAAGAGTTGGCACTTTTAAAGAATGTCATAACATTCTCATACCATCCCCAGAGTTAATACTTTAAGCAGACGGATTCGGAATCGATCCACAATCTTTCATGTTCATCGGATAAAAAGTGTCACTTAAGAGTCGAGGACCACCTTCCACCCATTTAAGAACTTGGTGAAAAATAGCCACTAAAATTATAACATAATCTGTTTTTAATTGGACCGTATGCGATGCTAAGTCATTTAAAGACTTCCATATTCTTGATATAATATCTGCTTATTGCTTAAGGATCTGCGTTTCTATATAACTTAACCGGCATATTACATATTATCACATAAGTAGTGACAGTTACCTGTTTGATGTGAATTAGATCTGATAGCTGGTCCGTGCCATCAGTGAAGGATAGATTCTCACTAAGATTAGGTGATCCCATTCCTCCCCCTGGGGACCCTTTATCTCTCCCCTGAGATTAAGTGCAGGTCAGAAGGGGTCAGGAATTAGTCCGATGAAATTTAGAATAGGATCGTGTTATTAAGTCAGGCTGTCTGTTACTATAAAAATATGGCAGAAAATGTCAACTTTGCCTGAATTTACCTTAAAATTTTTCACATGAAAATACAAAGCAGCTTGTAAGCAAATAGAAATCCATTCAACTTTAAAATAGCTGGATCATCGATTATTGATGATAATTGATTAGTTTTTATCAAAGTACCAATAAACTGATTAACTCATTATGACTAATTATTACCTGATTTAGAGGAGAGCTCTGTTCAGATGTTGCTTTAGCTGGAGAACTACAGATTGGGGAAGTGGTCGTACCGGAAGAAGAGGAGATCATTGCCTGGGAGCGAGAAGAATTACTAATTAGTTAGTTAATTAATTAATTAATTAGTATATCAGATATCAGAATATACATTGCCTGGGAGGGAGAAGAATTCTTTAGATTCTTCAAAAACGGTTGCATTGGAAGTTTTATATTCGCTAGTTTTTTAAAAGTTGCCGGGCAGTATGCTACTTTATTGGACACCAATGAATTTAATGTATTCACGATAAAATTGGTTTTATCAACTAATTAGAATTTATTTTAACTGTATCAATTTAAAACGATTCTTACCTGAGAATTAGCAATGTTGTTAGTACTAGTAATGGAGTTAGTTAATTGTGTCATAGCCTGAGAGAAAAGGGGCTGAGAAAGCAAAGCAGCTGACAGAGTGGCTGAAAGGGCGGCGTTCGTTCCGGGGTCTCCAAATATACTCTGAAACACAAGGAAATGTTTTCAAACTGTCATATATGTTGAACAATTCACGATGATAAAACGATATTTGATAATCCGAGTTCAAAAAGGGACAGAATATAGTTTGAAACGTACGGTGGCAGTGAAGTTTGTGTCTTTCATCTCCTTAGGTTCCGGAGTGGATACTTGGCCCGGGGAAAGTAGTGTGTTCGTCATTGATCCGGCCTGCTGGATTATTACTATTTTTATATTCATGTATTTATTTATTTGTTATATGTATTTTTAAATATACATATTTGTTATATTATATACTATATTTAGCATCATTAACAAACTGAACATTGAGATTAGTTAAGTTGTTATGGTACGTAAGCAGTGCATAAAAAAGGGTTTCCTTTATGAATTTTGAATAATTGGAAAGTTGAGATTTCTAGATTTGTAACAGAAATTAGCATAGTCAATCTCTTTTCGACTTGAATTGTTATTGCTCATGCGTTACGTTTCATTAAAGCACGTGGACATTTTTCTGGTTTTCATTAAATAGACTCTAGCTAGACAGTGCAACAATAGGGAAAATTTAGAGTAAAGGAGAAAATACTGTGGATCAATACCTATTGACACGTAAATACAGGAAACATCGAGACAATCACAAAAAAATGTACTGTCACGGGAGTGCCGTGAAAGTTGAGCATCAATTCATATAAATCACAATTTGTCTTACTTTTCTTAGCCAGTAAGAGGAGAGATACTAAAGGAATTTAATAGGGTAAAACATGAACTAAAGAGGAACTAAAGAGGAACTAAAGAGGAACTAAAGAGGAACTAAACAGGAACTAAACAGGAACTAAACAGGAACTAAACAGGAACTAAACAGGAACTAAACAGGAATAATGATGTACAGTGAGACGCAACTAACCGGTGAGAGTAGACTATCCCCGGGAGAGGAAGCAGGAGAGGATGAGGTGAGGGAGGGAGTGCACAACATTCCCCCAGGAGTGGTGCTGGGGTACTCTGTCAGGGAAGGGGTTGCTTTGGGGGTTCCGGGTGTTCCTGTTGTTGTGGAGGCTGTGGGTGACGGGGATTAGTTTGAAAATTGTAACACCTCTTGCTTCTCAGTTTAGGGTGATTTTAGGAAATCAAACGAAGAAGCCAAACCAATCGGGCAAGTTAATAATCATCCGATTATCCTACAAGAAATAAAGATGTATTTACCCAATGAAGTAGGAGAAAATACGGGTCTCTGTTCCATGACGGGGGTTGTAGCATCCATACCCGTACCACTGTCAGTGCTCTGTGTAGCGGAATCAGTAATGTTGCTCAACATGCTGGGAGAGAAACCGGGAGCCAGGGCGCTTGCTCCTCTGAAAGTCTTGGTGGATTTGCTTGTTCCTGGAGGTGGGGTTCTGTTAGTTATCATTTTAGGATTTAGTTGTTGTCATTTTGGGGATGATTAAGGTTATTCCAGCCATCATTCTAATTTTAACATCGGATAGTAATGATACAATCCGGGCTACAAACTGTTACTAAAATTGAATTCCACAAATTGGCGAAATATGCCAACACTTTGTATGCTATGTTACGACCGAGCATTGCACTGTCGGATCAACCTACTTTAGCCTTGATATATAACCATGAAATATCTAGCATTGATTAAGAAACGTCCTTCATTACATCTGATTAAGATATAAATATATATTATATAATATATAAAACCAGCTAAGTAATTTAAATATAAGATATATGGGGACGTAAACGGGTTGACTTTGTCCATTAACGTGATTCAAATATTGCACAAGCCATTATATGAAACCCTCCATATATTAGAGTTTTTGCTAAGTTGACGGACGAATCTGACACGAATCACACTAAACGTGCAGCTTGGACCAATAGGGAAATAGCACGCGAATCTAAGTGGCTCATAAGAAAACAGCACGCGATTTATGGTAACCAATGAGAAAGGATCCTCGTAATTATGATGTTTCGATTGGTCTGGATGTTTTATCACGTGACCACTGATTAAGAAAGACAACAACCTGATCTCATAAACCAGGCGTAAATTAATTCCTCAATCCATCACGATATACCTTTTCATCGTGATAAATTTCGTGGATAAATTTATTACAAGATCCAATAAATTTAAGCACCGCACAAAGTGATTCCAATAAAGAAGACCGATCGGATTGCCTCGTGGATCCGTGACTGGCTGTCCACATTTTTACTGGTAACAACTGATGGGACCACTTAATATCTTTATCAGGATGGATATGTCCACTTATAAATTCTATCAGAGAGAGAGATGTCCGTACCGATAGCCTCCCTCCACATGTTAATAGAAGTTTATCAATTTTTAAAGTGACATTTGGATCTGTGATCTGGTCTTGACGATCATGGCTAAATAAATAGCGACAGTCTTGATTAGTTTATGGGGATAGTTTATATGGCAAATACTGTGGTGAGGGGGTGGGGGAGATGCATTTAATATGAAAGATGAAGTTTTAATCGCACCACCGTCTTAACTTTGAACCTTGCAATCATTGACAAGTGCGTGAATAATTTTTCTTGACATTAAAATAGTCTAGATGCATTGGCCACAGATCCAACTGGCGGCTTTGAGCAACGAAACGGCATAAAATATAAAACGGGAGATTTTCAAACCTGCCCAATTAATGAGTCTACAGCAGGCTAATTCTTCTTGAAAAATTTCACATTTTTTTTCAAGCGTTGAGTAATTTTGAGGCTTTCACAGCCCGAATTTTAACTGGTACACCCAGCACTTCTCTTTTCTCCGATTTAAAACATTGAACAAATCCTGAAACCAACCCAAACGGCGGCAAACTCTTTATAACCTCACAACTCCGCCCAGACATAACCCTATCCTGAGGTTATATCCCCGGTGGTTTGCAGATCCCAGGTCTACTGTACCCACTACCGGGTATCTAGACCTTCTCACTGGGGGTCTATCTCTGTCTGGTCCCTCCGCAAGCAACCTGTAGTTCCTCCACCTCAATTTCTCTCCCCCACAGATTGATAGGAACTGAATCTTGACAGGTCAGCAGAGTTAGACGCTTCCCATTATATCACATTCCGACCTCCACCTGTAGCAGTCACCAGCAGAGCTCCTTAGCCAAATGTAATTACACTAATTGACTCTAAATCGTGGGATCTTATTGGAGTAGCAGCCGGATCCGAGCAGCCCATTGGCGGATTGACTCCTATACAAATTACTCCCAATAGTTTGACCAGCTCAAAAATGTTAGAAATCAGACAATCTATGCTCTATCATCATCACCCGGTCCGGAGCCAATGGAGGGAGAGAACGGTGGGCGCTGCCCAATCAGGGCAGACTATTCTCCACACGTGACACGACGGGATTTCTCACTCTGGGTCATTACGAGCGACATGCGCTTATTAATCCCTTATTAACACTGCCAGCAGCTCTGACCAGATATACTCAACCAACTCTAATTAGACCTGATTTCAAATTAGATCATCTGACCGCAGCTCTGATCCGCCATTGGGCAGACTCTGAAGATCAGCGGCGCTGATTGGTCGAATTAAACGCACGTGACAAAAGATAGAGATCATTTGCGGATGATGAGATGTAATTAAAAGTCTGAATAAGAAGCGTTTGGAGGTGAGCGACACCTAAATCACAGGTTCAATACTCAGACGAGAAGTTTGGTCAAGTAGCTTGTACGGGCGGGTGGTTGTGTGGCAGACACTTAGCGACGACTGTGTACCAGTTAATGTGCTTATAAACTTATAGTCTTAAAAACTTAATAAACTTAATAAACCTATAACATAAAGTTATACATATGTATAAACTAAATCACAGGTTCAGTAATATGTCCGTTCAAGTAGCTCTGAAAAGGGCGTAGCAGACACGTTGTTAAAGAGACGGATATTGCAAGTGTTTAGTTTGTTGAACCAATGATCCTGATATCTGTTCCGACTTTCATGGACTCTTTCCAGGGAGACTCCGGACACTTTCTGAGGAAATCACATACTCACTCCCAATCCAACTGATAGTTCCGGAGAATTCACGTACTGGAGAATTCACGCACTTCCATAATCGGAAAGTATTGGCACGGAGAAACTGTATGATACAGATTCTAATCAGATTTTGAAATTGTCCGTGTATAGAAAATTGACTTCACAGGATGGAAATCCAATTACCTTTCTGTCAGTTCTTAGACGGCAGCCAGACATTTCTGAATAACACGATTTACATTTTTGGATTGGATTTTTATCAACAAACACGGGACTTCAGGTTGCTTGCGGAGGGACCCGAATTTGAGCGCGGCTATTATGTAAAAGTCTAAATCAGCTGTCAGGTATAATTGCGGCTAATCCATTTAAGGTGCAAGCATAAGATTGGAGCAGAATCTGGTGGTTAAAAGTTCTCCTTGGTATAATATCAGCTGTTATCAGGTATAGCATGCGGCCCTTTTTAACATGTACCTGTGATTACCCGCCATGAAACGTGATCACTGATCAACCGAAACAGCATCTGTTGTTGAGAACTATGACATAGAGATATCACCAATCTGATAAGAAGCGGGGATAATTGGTTGACAAGTGGCAATTGCAGCCCTCCGCACGCAATCCGCCCACGTGCTGGTCTGCCCACGTGATCTAACCGAGATGTGACTGGACACTGGTGGAAACTGATGACGTGATTGTGTAAAGACGTGTGATTGGTCGGAGATAACGGTGCTATCAAGTTAGGTAATCAAGGACAGAAACACACCCATGACTTTAATCTGATTGCAAATACCACTGCATATAACAGTTACATATATACAAACTTTAGATAAGATAACAAGTTATTTAGCCTTACTTTTTGGCAGGTTATTCAAGCAGAAGTAAGATTCCGTCATGCTGCTTCTGTAATTACTGAGAAAAAACCGCTGGATATTTGGACTTTCGGTGGACCTTTTTTACAGAAAATATCATTTTTATCGAGACATCACGCTTTAATACTTCCAAGATCTTTGCTTTGGCTTTCAAAGCAAGGATGAAAAGTGAAGCTCATCAATCCCGAGCAACTTATTAAGTGTTAGATAATTTGAAGGTGTTCTTTTTAAAAGCGCGAAGCGATGGCTAAACTTTTAAATTTCAAGCCCTAAAACCTCGGGACATTTTTTAAAAATTTCTGAACGGCTTTGAAAAATATTGAACGATTTACCCAATCTCACGATTATGAAATATAATAGCAGGTGATTTTATTCGGGGAATATTATGTCAAAGGAATCTTAGTAGTCATGTGAAATTAGTAAAAAGACAGTGCAAAATGAAGTCACATATTTGTATTCTGATACGGGGCCCTACTGAGTTTCGTACTAAACTTGAGACCTTTTTAAAAACTTAAATATTTGCCCAAATTGAACCCCCGCTTGAATAATATGCACTTTTACCGAATAAAAAGTTTCTATTCAATTTGACGAGCATGGTCTCTCAATTCTAGTTTTAAAAGTTCGAGCTTAACTAATCCGCCCTTAGAGATTACCGGTTCAAACTATTTTAAGGATGATTTAATGGTGAATTGTGGATGAACCAGCATGTATGGTCCATAAGCTCCAAGATTTGTGGCTACAGATTTAGGTCCCATGTTTCTAGATATCGCACTACAAAAATTGGTAAGACTGCGTATTGCTGGACTACAGACTTTGTTTAAAACGTTTAACTCAAGACATTCCATCTGACATTAAAATATTCATTAATTGTTTAGTTTGCGATATTTTGGTGACTTTTGACATGAAATAACCATAAACACAATACAGTAAGTCAGCTAAAATAGCCTGTGATATATTGTCCTTAATATGGCTATTAATTTCTTTAGGCTTCGCCCGTTTTGATTGGCAAGGTTACCGCACGTGACCCAAATTCTCGTCGCTAATTGGCCAGCCTACACCACGTGACACATCTACCGGTCATACAATTGGCTACTCGGTTGTTAATGAACAAGACTGAACAATCTACCCGCCAGGTATTGCTTGGAAATGATAAAACGTAACCCAGTTAACAGGCCTGTATAAACGTCCAATATTGTATAAACGCATTAACAAGGCAATCTAAAGCTGACAGCTGTCTCCCCGCCAATCAAAACCTCCCATTTCCACACGTATCCTCGCCAGAACCAATCAAAACCTGCTTTTCAGGTCACGTGACTTTTTTATCGACGGTTATTTGTTCAGATTCTGGCTTGTTAAGCAGATGCAGTCAATCTAAAGAGGCAATTACTGAACCAATGGACGGTGAATCCCTACAATCGCTCTTTGCTCCTTCACCAAAATTTTTGTTGATAGGGAAGCCGTACGTTTGAATGGGATCTGGAATAGTAGACAGGCATTTCGTCAATAAAGTCATTATATCACGATAGCCTGCGG